GAAATGAATTGAAGAAACAATTGTTAAGCAAAAAAGAACCAGAACTTAAAGATTTGCAAAATTCTCCGGCTGTCCATATTGCAAAAAATGGGCAAGCTTGTTCTGAAGAGAACACTAAGGGTATGGCCTAACACCCATTTGCTAAGGTGATTAGTATGGGTGTGAACCAAAGACCTAATCAGCCACCCATCAGAAACACCTGCACTTGGAACTGAAGGGGACAGGGCTGAGACCAAATGAAGGAAGGCCATTGAACTTAGATCCTATAGGACTGGATCATAGAGCTATTTGGCTGTGAACCTGTGCTATTTTTCAAGACAGGGGAATAATGATCCTAAAGGCAATTCAGGTATCATCAGGGCTGCCTCCTTCATTTCAAAAGGGGGAGGCGGCATTGCCTGGGTTTCAACAGGCCAGACAGTAACCACCTGGAGCCTTGGGGGTGGGGCCACCCACATGCATGAGGCAGCCACGTGCCCAGAAGAACCAAAGGGTTTGGGTTGCCATCCCAGTGGGACCTGAATGCAGGACTACCACCCCAGTGGGTCCGGAGGGGCAGAGCATTGACCCTAAGAGAATTATTCTCCAGCCCTAAGATCTAATGATATTTGCCTTGCTAGATTTTGGACTTGCTTAGGCTTGGGACTATCACCCCTTTCTTCCAATTTCTCCCTTTTGCAATGGGGATGTCTATCCTATGCCTGTCCCATGACTGTATTTCGAAGCACGTACTTTTCTGGTTTCACAGGTTCACAGTTGGAGAGGAGTTTTGCCTCAGGATGAATCCTACCTGCAGTCTCACCCATACCTGATTTAGGTCCTATTCAGATGAGACTTTAGACTTTAGAATTGATGCTGGAATGAATTGAGATTTTGGGGCCTCTTGGGATGGAATGAATATATTTTGCATATAGTCATGATTTTTAGGGGGGACCAGGGACAGTGTGTTATAGACTGAATGTTTGGGTCCTCCCACATCAAATTCATATGTTGACGTCCTAACCCCCAATGTGATAGTTGTTGGAGGTGGGACCTTTGGGAGGCAATTAGGTTTAGATGAGGTCATAAGATGGAGTCCCTGTGTTGGGACTTGTGTCCTTATAAGAGGAGGAAGAGGGACAATATCTCTTTCTCTCTGCCATGTGAGGACTCAGCAAGAGGGGGTCATTTGAAAGCCAGGAAGTGGTTTTTCACCAGGAACTGAATTGGCTGGCACCTTGATTCTGGACTTCCCAGCCTCGAGAACTGGAGAAATAAATATCTATGATTTAAACTACTCAGTATGTGGTATTTTTTATGGCAGCCCAAGCTGACTGATACGTTGGCCCATTGGTTGTTTAAGAGTGTGCTGTTTAATTTCCACAAATTTGTGAATTTTCCAGTTTTCCTTCTATTATTGATTTCTAACTTCATCCCACTGAGGTTGGAGAAGACTCTTTATATGATATCTGTCTTTTAAAATTTATTGAGAACTGATTTGTGGCCTCACATGCGGTCTATCCTAGAGAATGTCCCACGTGCACTTGAGAAGAATGTGTATTCTGTTGTTGTTGGGTAGAGTGTCCATATATGTTTGTCAGATCTGGTTGGTTTACTGTGTTGTTCAAGTCCTCTATTTCCTTACTCATCTCTCTCGTCATTCTATCCATTACTAAGAGTGGCGTATTGAAGTCTCCAACTATTCTTGTAGAACTATCTGTTTCTCCCTTCAATTCTGTCCATTTTTGCTTCTTATATTTTGAGAGTTTGTTATTAGGTGGGTAGACGTTCATAATTATATATTCTTCTTGTATTGAACCGTTTACTGATATATAATATTCTTCTTTGTCTCTTGTAAACTTTTTCGATTTAAAGTCTATTTTGTTTGATATTGCTAGAGCCACTCTGCTTCTCTTTTAGTTAGTATTTGCATGGAATATCTCTTTCCATCTTTTCTCTTTCAATCTATTTGTGTCTTTGGATCCAAAGTGAGTTGCTTGTACATAGCATATGGTTGGTTGGATTATGTTTTTCATCCATCGGCCAATCTCTGGTTTTTTGATTGGGGAGTTTAATCTGTTAACATTTAAAGTAATTACTGATAAGAAGGAACTGTCTTTTTGCTGTTTGCTGCATGCCTTATAGCTTTTTTGGTTCCCCATTCCCAGCATTACTGTCTTCTTTTGCATTTAGTTGATTTTTTGGTAGTGAAAGGTTTTAATTCCCTTCTCATTTCCTTTTGCATATATTCTATAGCTATTTTCTCTATGGTTACTATGGGGATCACACTCAGCATCACCGAGTTATAATAATCTAATTTGAATTTACACCAGCTTAACTTCAATAACATACGAAACTCTGCTGCTATACAGTTCTGTCTCCATTCTCTTTCAATTATTGATGTCACAAAATTACATCTTTATGCATTGCGTGCCTAAAATCATAGACTACTAATTGTTTTCAATGCCTTAGTCTCTTAACTTGTGCCTCAGCATGCCTTGGTGAGCAGAGCCATGTCCACGCCCAGGATTCGAACTGGTGAAACCCTGGGCCACTGAAGTGGAGCTCACGAACTCAACCACTTGACCACAGGCCAGCCCCAGCTCCAACACTTGCAAGTCACATGACTTTGGGCAAGTCACTTTGTCTTCTTCAGCCTCAGTTTCCTGATCTGTAGAATGGGAATAGTAATTACTTCATAGGTTTGTTGTGAGAATTAAATAGAATAATGTATGTAGAGTGTCTGATATGTAGTAAATAGTTGATAAGTGGTGGTGATTATTAGTTATTTTACTATTGTTATTACCAACGTTCCTTGCTAAATACCTGTGATGCTCAAGTTGTTCAAGTATTTCTATGAATGATACCAAAAGAGGAATCATAAAGAAAAATAAGTGAAAAACTTCCTTACATTTAAAAATTTTTAAAGCTTTTTATTAATAGAAATTAAACATGCATTAATAATTTATTTATATATTAAAATTCCTGTTACAAAACAAATTTTGAAAGAAAAACAAACTGTAAAATTTTAAGCAACAAAATGTTAGTCTCTTTACAATGTAAAAAAGTCTTACAAATCAAAACATTAAAAATGAAGATCTCAGTAGGAAAAATGGGCGAAGGACATAAAGTGGTTATTTCTCCAAGAAAAACTATAAATTCTTAATAAACCTATGAAATTCAAGATAATAAACTCAATGGTCAGAAATGAGTAATAATGTAATCAACACGATACCAGCTATGGACTGAAAGTTTGTCTCCCGCCTCAGATTCACATGTTGACACTTTAAACCCAGTGTGACGGCATTTGGAGGTGGGTCTTTGGGAGAAGATTAGGTTTAGATGAGGTCATGAGTGTGGGACCCCCATGATGGGACTAGTGCCCTTCACAAAGAGGAGGAACAAGAAAGACCGCTCAGAAGAATGTATTGTGTTGTTGTTGGGGAGAGTGTTCATACATGTTTGTTTGACCTGGATGGTTTATTGAGTTGCTCGAGTCCTCTATTTCCTTATTTCTCTTCTGTCTGGTGGTTCTTTCCATGTGCATTACCGAGGAAAGGCCATGTGAGCACAACGCGAGTAGGTGGCCATCTGCAAACGAGGAAGAGGGCTCTGCTCAGAACCCCACCACGTTGGCACCCTCATCTCAGACTTCCAGTCTATAAAATTGGGAGAAACGAACATTCTTGTTTAGCCACCCAGGCCATGATATTTTGTTAGAGCAGACTGAGCTGACTAAGAGGGAATTTTGGGACTGTGAGGTGGCGTGCTGCTGCAACAAATATCTAAAAATGTGGAAGTGGCATTGGAGCTTGGTAATGAGTAAAGGCTGGGAGAGTTTTGAGGTGAATGCTGGAAAAAGACAAGATTGCCGTGAAGGGACAGTTAAAGGTGATTCAGGTGAGGGCTTAGAAAGAAAAGAGGAGCACTATAGAGAAAGCTTCCATCTTCTTAGAGAATACGTAAATAATCATGAACAGAATGTTGGTAGAAATGTGGACTATAAAGGCCATTCTGGTGAGGCCTCAACAGGAATAGGAACATATTCTTAGACAATGAGGAAAGCGATCCTTTTCATAAAGCGGCAAAGACCTTGGCTGAATTGTGTTCCTGTTTAGTGTTTTGTGGAAGGTAGAACTTGTGAGAGATGAAACTGCATGTTTAGCTGAGGAGATTTCTAAGCAATGTATTGAAGGGGAGGCTTGGTGGTCGTTCGCCCCAGAATCACTCGCGCGAGACTGATGGACGTGTATCGTAGACTTGACTGAAGGAGTTGGAACACTGAAGTTGTTTGACCTCACAGCCGAAAACAGAACAGCTGATAATTATATTTGTCATCCTCGCTTCTTCCAAACACCTTTGGGAATTCCTCCCTTACCTCTTTTTTCCCCAGACTTGAGCCCTTGCTGAAGTGATGGCCACCCTTTTCCCCTCCTCCCTTACTCCCTCGGAAGGCAGAAGGAGCCTCACTCAGTTTGGATTGAAAAACAGCAACAACAAAAACAGAAGCTCTTCATCCCGCTGTACTTAGTGTGAATAAAAACAGAGAGAAGTCAAGACAACAGGAGCCCTCACTGTGATGCAAAAACAGACCCTCTCACGTTCACACACATTGAAACACTTCAGCTGCAGGCACACACATGCACACACAGAGCCGGCCCCGCCGCAGACAGATAGAACCCTCCTTGAGACCCCAGTGACTCTCCGTCTCCCTCTGTTTCCTCCTCTTGAATCCCAAAAGCTTCAGAGAAAAAGCACTACATCTCATTCTCACTCCCTACAGGTCCATGGCCAGGAACCAGACAGACTGAATAGGGAGACCGGGAAGAGACAGACCTGGAGAGAGGCGAGCAATAAATAGAAGGAATCCTAGGAGCTGGAGGGTTTATTTAGGAACAAGGAAGAGGACTCCTGTGATGGAAAGCCACATTGCAGATCCAGGACATTTCTCTGCTGTGTACACGGTGGGCGTCCTCAAAACTCTCATTACAAAGGGCATAGCACAAAGACAGATTCCAACCCTAGACGGTCCCATCCTGCAGCTCGGCGCCTGCTCTGAATTTCTCCAACTCTTCGCTGCTGGAGCCCATGGGGCATGGCTGGTATTTGGCACCTGGGGCCTCTCTCCAGGAGGACCAGTGATGGTGCCAGAGGCTGCAGAGGCCATAGACAGTGGCCACCGTGGCGGCTCCAAAGCCCAGATGCCAGCAGAAGAAGATGGTGAGGAAGGCGAGGTCTGTGGGGTTGTCTCCTTTCCAGGGCTGCCCGGAGGGAGGAACGTACATTACCACACAGAGCTGCAGCAGCCAGTTGCTGAGCACCTGCCCCATCCAGGCCTTGAGCACCCAGAGTGGAGGCTGGTCAGGGGCCCAGACCTCGATGGTGAGCACCAGGCCGAGCAGGATGACAGGCACTATCAACAGGAGGTGTACGCGGATCTCTAGGGTGCCCTTGTTCTCAATGTGGGATGCCATCAGCAGCACCAGCACATGGAAGGCCAGGGCCTCGGCTGCTCGCTCCAGCTTGATATTCTGCCGCGCCCAACACCACTGGCTCAAGATGTCCACCACACCACTGACTAGGAAGAACCCGTACATGGTGGCATGTTGCCAGCTGTCCTTGAATAAGAATGGTCGCTGAGGGTCCTCCCAGTCTACCATCATCAGTCGGTTTTCTCCTGGTGGGTAGAAAAACTGGGCCATGATGCCGATCACAGAGATGACTGCCTTCATGACCCCTTCCACAGGTACCGACGGCCATGACCTGTGTCCTCGCTTCTCCCTTGGGGGTAGAGGGGGTTTGAGGAACCTCTGTCCCCGTAGCAGGGCCAAGGACATCAGCACTGAGTAGTAGAGTGAGAAGATGAGGAAGAACATCCCTGGCATCAGGTGTCCCTCGAGGGTACCCATGATCTCGGTGTGGGTGTCGAGGCCAACAGGGTGACAGCTGGCAGATAAGCAGCAACCTCACAGGGCTCTCCTCACAAGTCGAGAGTGGCTGCTTCTGAGCCGTGGAGAGATGTTCTTGATCCAGCCCCACCCCTAACTCACACACGTGGAAACACGTACCACCTGCCCTGCTGGAAATGTGAGTCACTCCCTGGGTGGGATCTCCTTCAGGGATGCGCCTCCGCACCTCGCTCTATTCCTTACTTGGGTCTGCTAGGCCCAGAATTTCAGCCTCTGCATCTCACCACAGGCATTCGTTTCCCCTTTCTCTCACCCACCCCTCCATCGCCACCCCTCTACAAAGAGAGGGGAGGGAAAGAGTGAGGGTGCTCCAGCAAAGAGGTGTGATGACTACTCTTTTGTAGCAACTGTCTCTCGGTGGTAGGCACACTGCACAGTTTTTCTCATTTAAATCCACAAAATTTGTTAAACAAATTTTTCAGCTGACATTGAGACTCAGAGGGGTGAGGGGACATGCACAAGGTGACACACCTACCAGCGAGCACAGCAGAGCCACGATGTGGATCCAGGTATACACATCTGTTCACAAAACCCAGAGTTGGTACACAGCAAAGTGACTGATCTCAGCTCCAACACTTTTTTTTAAAGCTAACTGGATCTCTTGGAGCTCCTTTTTTTAAATATGGGCCCTGAGCTAACATCTGTTGCCAATCTTTTTTTTTTCCTACTTCTCCCCAAAGCCCCCAGTACATAGCTGTATATTCTAGTTGTAGGTCCTTGTGGTTGTGGCATGTGGGACGCCGCCTCAGCATGCCTTGGTGAGCAGAGCCATGTCCACGGCCAGGATTCGAACTGGTGAAACCCTGGGCCACTGAAGTGGAGCTCACGAACTCAACCACTTGACCACAGGCCAGCCCCAGCTCCAACACTTGCAAGTCACATGACTTTGGGCAAGTCACTTTGTCTTCTTCAGCCTCAGTTTCCTGATCTGTAGAATGGGAATAGTAATTACTTCATAGGTTTGTTGTGAGAATTAAATAGAATAATGTATGTAGAGTGTCTGATATGTAGTAAATAGTTGATAAGTGGTGGTGATTATTAGTTATTTTACTATTGTTATTACCAACGTTCCTTGCTAAATACCTGTGATGCTCAAGTGGTTCAAGTATTTCTATGAATGATACCAAAAGAGGAATCATAAAGAAAATAAAGTGAAAAACTTCCTTACATTTAAAAATTTTTAAAGCTTTTTATTAATAGAAATTAAACATTGCAATTAATAATTTATTTATATATTAAAATTCCTGTTACAAAACAAATTTTGAAAGAAAAACAAACTGTAAAATTTTAAGCAACAAAATGTTAGTCTCTTTACAATGTAAAAAAGTCTTACAAATCAAAACATTAAAAATGAAGATCTCAGTAGGAAAAATGGGCGAAGGACATAAAGTGGTTATTTCTCCAAGAAAAACTATAAATTCTTAATAAACCTATGAAATTCAAGATAATAAACTCAATGGTCAGTAAATGAGTATAATGTAATCAACACGATACCAGCTATGGACTGAAAGTTTGTCTCCCGCCTCAGATTCACATGTTGACACTTTAAACCCCAGTGTGACGGCATTTGGAGGTTGGGTCTTTGGGAGAAGATTAGGTTTAGATGAGGTCATGAGTGTGGGACCCCCATGATGGGACTAGTGCCCTTACACGAAGAGGAGGAGCAAGAAAGACCGCTCAGAAGAATGTATTGTGTTGTTGTTGGGGAGAGTGTTCATACATGTTTGTTTGACCTGGATGGTTTATTGAGTTATCGAGTCCTCTATTTCCTTATTTCTCTTCTGTCTGGTGGTTCTTTCCATGTGCATTACCGAGGAAAGGCCATGTGAGCACAACGCGAGTAGGTGGCCATCTGCAAACGAGGAAGAGGGCTCTGCTCAGAACCCCACCACGTTGGCACCCTCATCTCAGACTTCCAGTCTATAAAATTGGGAGAAACGAACATCTCTTGTTTAGCCACCCAGGCCATGATATTTCGTTAGAGCAGACTGAGCTGACTAAGAGGGAATTTTGGGACTGTGAGGTGGCGTGCTGCTGTAACAAATATCTAAAAATGTGGAAGTGGCATTGGAGCTCGGTAATGAGTAAAGGCTGGGAGAGTTTTGAGGTGAATGCTGGAAAAAGACAAGATTGCCGTGAAGGGACAGTTAAAGGTGATTCAGGTGAGGGCTTAGAAAGAAAAGAGGAGCACTATAGAGAAAGCTTCCATCTTCTTAGAGAATACGTAAATAATCATGAACAGAATGTTGGTAGAAATGTGGACTATAAAGGCCATTCTGGTGAGGCCTCAATGGGAATAAGGAACATATTCTTAGACAATGTAGGAAAGCTGATCCTTTTCATAAAGCGGCAAAGACCTTGGCTGAATTGTGTTCCTGTTTAGTGTTTTGTGGAAGGTAGAACTTGTGAGAGATGAAACTGCATGTTTAGCTGAGGAGATTTCTAAGCAATGTATTGAAGGGGAGGCTTGGTGAGTCGTGACTACTTATGGCGAAATACGAAAAGGGAGAAATGAATTGAAGAAACAATTGTTAAGCAAAAAAGAACCAGAACTTAAAGATTTGCAAAATTCTCCGGCTGTCCATATTGCAAAAAATGGGCAAGCTTGTTCTGAAGAGAACACTAAGGGTATGGCCTAACACCCATTTGCTAAGGAGATTAGTATGGGTGTGAACCAAAGACCTAATCAGCCACCCCATCAGAAGCACCTGCACTTGGAACTGAAGGGGACAGGGCTGAGACCAAATGAAGGAAGGCCATTGAACTTAGATCCTATAGGACTGGATCATAGAGCTATTTGGCTGTGAACCTGTGCTATTTTTCAAGACAGGGGAATAATGATCCTAAAGGCAATTCAGGTATCATCAGGGCTGCCTCCTTCATTTCAAAAGGGGGAGGCGGCATTGCCTGGGTTTCAACAGGCCAGACAGTAACCACCTGGAGACTTGGGGGTGGGGCCACCCACATGCATGAGGCAGCGACCTACCCAGAAGAATCACAGGGTTTGGATTGCTATCCCAGTGTGACCTGAAGGCAGGACTGCCACCCCAACACGTCCAGAGGGGCAGAGCATTGACCCTAAGAGAATTATTCTCCAGCCCTAAGATCAAGTGATATTTGCCTTGCTAGGTTTTGGACTTGCTTGGGCTTGGGACTATCCCCCCTTACTTCCAATTTCTCCTTTTGGAATGGGGATGTCTATCCTATGCCTGTCCCATGACTGTATTTTGAAGCACATGCTTTTCTGGTTTCACAGGTTCACAGTTGGAGAGGAGTTTTGCCTCAGGATGAATTCTACCTGCAGTCTCACCCATACCTGATTTAGGTCCTATTTAGATGAGACTTTAGACTTTAGGATTGATGCTGGAATGAATTGAGATTTTGGGGGCTCTTGGGATGGAGTGAATATATTTTGCATATAGTCATGATTTTTAGGGGGGGTACAGGGACAGTGTGTTATAGACTGAATGTTTGGGTCCTCCCACACCAAATTCATATGTTGACGTCCTAACCCCCAATGAGATAGTTGCTGGAGGTGGGACCTTTGGGAGGTAATTAGGTTTAGATGAGGTCATAGGATGGGGCCCCCGTGTTGGGACTTGTGTCCTTATAAGAAGACGAAGAGGGACCAGAACTCTTTCTCTCTGCCATGTGAGGACTCAGCAAGAGGGGGTCATTTGAAAGCCAGGAAGTGGTTCTTCACCAGGAACTGAATTGGCTGGCACCTTGATTTTGGACTTCCCAGCCTCGAGAACTGGAGAAATAAATATCTACAATTTAAACTACTCAGTATGTGGTATTTTTTATGGCAGCCCAAGCTGACTGATACGTTGGCCCATTGGTTGTTTAAGAGTGTGCTGTTTAATTTCCACAAATTTGTGAATTTTCCAGTTTTCCTTCTATTATTGATTTCTAACTTCATCCCACTGAGGTTGGAGAAGACTCTTTATATGATATCTGTCTTTTAAAATTTATTGAGAACTGATTTGTGGCCTCACATGTGGTCTATCCTAGAGAATGTCCCACGTGCACTTGAGAAGAATGTGTATTCTGTTGTTGTTGGGTAGAGTGTCCATATATGTTTGTCAGATCTGGTTGGTTTACTGTGTTGTTCAAGTCCTCTATTTCCTTACTCATCTCTCTCGTCATTCTATCCATTACTAAGAGTGGCGTATTCCCTTCCCCCACTATTCTTGTAGAACTATCTGTTTCTCCCTTCAATTCTGTCCATTTTTGCTTCTTATATTTTGAGAGTTTGTTATTAGGTGGGTAGACGTTCATAATTATATATTCTTCTTGTATTGAACCGTTTACTGATATATAATATTCTTCTTTGTCTCTTGTAAACTTTTTCGATTTAAAGTCTATTTTGTTTGATATTGCTAGAGCCACTCTGCTTCTCTTTTAGTTAGTATTTGCATGGAATATCTCTTTCCATCTTTTCTCTTTCAATCTATTTGTGTCTTTGGATCCAAAGTGAGTTGCTTGTACATAGCATATGGTTGGTTGGATTATGTTTTTCATCCATCGGCCAATCTCTGGTTTTTTGATTGGGGAGTTTAATCTGTTAACATTTAAAGTAATTACTGATAAGAAGGAACTGTCTTTTTGCTGTTTGCTGCATGCCTTATAGCTTTTTTGGTTCCCCATTCCCAGCATTACTGTCTTCTTTTGCATTTAGTTGATTTTTTGGTAGTGAAAGGTTTTAATTCCCTTCTCATTTCCTTTTGCATATATTCTATAGCTATTTTCTCTATGGTTACTATGGGGATCACACTCAGCATCACCGAGTTATAATAATCTAATTTGAATTTACACCAGCTTAACTTCAATAACATACGAAACTCTGCTGCTATACAGTTCTGTCTCCATTCTCTTTCAATTATTGATGTCACAAAATTACATCTTTATGCATTGCGTGCCTAAAATCATAGACTACT